TTATAGAAGAGTTTATTAGGGGCTTCATAGAGTGAATTCATGACCATCATGGTGGAGAGCATGGAAGCAGACAGGCAGACATGGCACTGGAGCAGTAGCTGAGAACTTATATTTGGATCCATAAGCAAAGAGAGAAGGGAGAGCTAACTGCACCTGATGTGGGCTTTTGAAACCTCAAAGCCTGCTTCCAGTGACACACCTCCTCCAACACAGCTACACTTCTTAATCCTTACCAAACAGTTCCACTATGCATTTAACAATAAGTGTCTATGGAGAGCATCCTCATTCAAATTGGAATACCAATTGGTGATGTCACAGTGTCAGGCCTTCTTTAGATGACAATAAAGTTAAGAATTCATGACTGTAGCTCCATGTTATTTGTAGAAGACAATCTCACAACAGATATCTTGGTCTTCTGATATTTCCTGAGCCTTAAATTCAGGTATTAAATATAATACAGATATATCAATTTGAACTGAGCATCCCACAGTTTGTTGTCCTCTGCAATTAGTTATGACTTTCTGTAATGGTCTCCATCTACTACAAAAAGAAGTTTCTTCCTCCTTACCATTTTAAGATTATTTATCTATATGAAAGAGACAGACTTTACTAAACTCCCATACCAGAACTTCTGACACAATTTTGGCTGGAAAAAAAGATAGCACATTTTTGAGCAAATAAAGGATTGGTACTTATCAGAAAGGGAAATTATTTTCTCCCTTGGGCACAGTCAGTCCTAGATTGTGCCAGAAAATAACCAGTAAGATATCACAAAAAAGAGGCAGAAAGTTCTCTTAAGGTATAAGCACCTCACTAAGGCATAGCTCTAAATAAAGATACTAACAATCACAAGTTAAAAATGAAATATACAAGTCTGTTGTTGCCCAACAAAATTATATCAATAATCTCAAGTTATCACATTGAAGTAACAAAACTAGATTATTTGGAATACCTTCTCACAGCTTTGTTGGGCAGCAACAGACTTCATAAAGATACAACAAAGGGCTTGTAGAAATGATTTTACATAATGTGTGGCAAAAATAAACTCACATATGCAAACCTCACTTTCTGAATAACAGCAGAAGTCTCAACATGTGGGAAGGGGAACTTCACAAAATAGAAAGTAATAACGAAGAAGTGATCAGCAGAAACCGTTGGTCTAGTACCTATAGCATACACAAATTGACTACCAAAGTTTGTCTGGCAGGAGCTCATCATTGGTATTAGTTCCACAAATTGCATCTTGGATGGTTCTTCAATAAAATTCTACTCTTAGCCAAGTGGTGGTGGCGCACACCTTTAATCCTAGCACTCGGGAGGCAGAGGCAGGTGGAGCTCTATGAGTTCAAGGCGAGTCTGGTTCACAAGAGATACTTCCAGGACAATTAGGGTTGTTGCACAGAGAAACTCTGTCTTGAAAAAACCAAAAAATTCTTTTCTTGATATATAATGCTCTGATCATTTTTTCTGAAAATTTGCCTTTTAATATAAACCCAGTAATAATAACATCCACATATAACAGTGGAGATAGAATTCAATGCAAAGGAAAGATCCAGAGATCCCAAGAATGAGATTCAATGGTTTCAGGGGTTAATGCCAAATCAAAAGGCTGCTATATTTCAAGATGCTTCAATATAAAAATAACATAGATATGTAGCAGGTATGTTTTGTTACTTTGAAATAAAGGCACAATATTGCATTACTATAATTTCTAACACTTGAATAGTTGATCTTTTCAAGATTTGACTATTTTTCTGACTTCAGAACTCAGAGTGAACATAAGAGGTAAATACTACGACTTCCTAATTACAGCAATTCAAACACAAAGGAACTAAGTGCTTTTATCTCATTATCTTAAATTATTTTAAAAACAGAGAGAAAGAATCAAGGATATCCTGTTCTTGAGAAAACTACAGTCTCTGAACGTACTTTTATAAAAATAAACCTTTTTATTATATAATTTCAGACTAAGCTGGAACCCCTAGAAGAGAAACAAATGGACACACTAAAAATTGCTTAATCATCTTAGTCAGTGTTCTATTGCCATGACTACAGCAACTCTTACAAAGGAAAGCATTTAATTGAACCTGACTTACAATTTCAGAGATTTAGTCCATTATTGTCATTGTGGGGAGTATGGTGGCATGCATGCAGACATGGCAGCTGAGAATTCTGCATCCAGATCTGCAGGAAACAGGAAGAGAAAACAATGAGACTGACTTGAACATTTAAAGCCCCAAAGCCTACCCTCAGTGTCACACTTCCTCCAATAAGGCCATACCTCGTAATATATAGCACCACTCACTAGTGACCACCATACAGATGATGTATTAACCTATGAGGGCCATTCTTATTCAAACAGCAAGGAGAGTGACACTATTAGGAAGTATGGCTTTGTTGGAGTGAGTGTGGCTTTTTTGGAGAAAGTGTGACACTGTGGAGGCAGGTTTTGAGGTCTCATATATGCTCAAGACACACCCAGTGAACAGACCACTTCCTGTGAGGCAAGATGTAAGATGCTCAGCTATTTCTCCAGCACCATGTCTGCCTGCATAGCACCATGTTGCACTAAGATGATCATGGACTAAACCTCTGAACTATAAGTAAGCCACCCCAATTAAATGCTTTTCCTTTTAAAGAGTTGATTTGGTCATGGTATCTCTTCACAGCAATAGAAACGCTAAGATACCACCACAACATCTAAATAATATTCACAATCTATTTTACATTATATATATATATATATATATATATATATATATATATATATATATATATCCTCCCTCATATGATCCCATATAAATTTCCCACAACTACTGAAGTTCAGAAAAGTTCAATGGTTTGCTTTAGATCATACAGCTCTGAGTGCCAGGGTGGGAATTACACCGAAGTATTCTACAGTCAACTTTAATTCCTATCAGATAATCTTATTTAACTTAATGCTCTTTTTGTTCAGAGGTAAGAGAGCAAAGGTACACATTTTTTTACTTCTGAATTTCAAATTCCCAACCATATTTCTCAAGGAAACAGATTCAGGAACCATTATTTCAAGGAAGGTATGTACTGTATGTCTAAAGACAATAAGCTCCCTATTATTTTTACATTTATTTCACTTGTTAGAAAGAGGCTATAGCTAGCAATCTCTTACAATAAAAAGAGTAAAACTCAGTTAATAGGTTCAAATATAAAAACACAGGTGCAATTAAAGATGGAGAAAAAATACAATTTACTCTTTCACAAATCATATAATGAGTTCTAAGTAGGCATATCTGAAGTGCCTTTATATACTAATACAGGCATCAAGAAGCTCACATTTTAGGTATTACTTATGCTTAAAAGGCAGGTATAGGAACTGGGGGTGTAGCTCAGTTTTTAGAGTGTTTGTATAGCAATCAGTAGGCCCTGGATTCAATACCAACCACTACATAAAACTGTTCATGGTGGTACATAACTGTCATCCCAGCACTCGGGAGATAGAGGCAAGAGGATCAGAAGTTCAAGTTCATCCTCTGCTACACAAGGAGATCAAGGCCAGGGAACTAGAGAGAGAGTAAGAGAGAAAATAGAGACACTTACTCAAATCCCTCAGTGGATAACAAGATGAATCTTTCCAAAGATATATTATAACATCACAGACTTGACAATACAACTTCAACATTCCCAACTTTTAACAACAAATAGTAGAAGGAGAAGGAGGAATAAAAAGAAGAGGACGAGTCTATCCTTCATTTTCCCTCATCTGTTTTGAAGATTTGGGATTACAGGAAAAGCATAGAGATCTTCACGTATGCTAAAAAAAAAAGTTGGGCATGGAACAAAGCAAGAAATGAAACTTAAATATCAGCAAATAGTGGAAACAAGGATTACCCTCTCTCAAAATGAATTCTTGCCAGACAAATCCATAAAAGACAGTCTATCTACAGTCTTAAAAAATAGATTGTCATAAAAGACAATCTATCTACAGTCTTAGATTTTTCAGGAGGAATAAGAAAAAGATTCTATATTTAAGTTCTTTTTTATTAATATTCTAATCTTTGTGACACCAACATCAACTGAGAACATCCTGTCTGGCATGCTGTAATGATGGTGTTGAATGATAGACTGAACAGCGGTTTCATGTTTCACATGCTTGGATATCATGTCTTAAGAAAAGTTTTTTTTTAATGAGCTTGCATATGTCCTAATTGTGCTGCTTGTTGGAACATGCTGCACATTAATACTGTTTTTACATTGTTCTTGCCAGGCCAATCTAGATTATAGCTGATGATACGGGAAAACATTAACAGACTTTTTTTTCTCTTATCAATTCTGCTTCCTCCCTTCACAAGAAGCAACATGCAATCTACACTATTTAACCCTTCACCCTTTATGGAGCAATGACTGTTCCAAAGATGAACCCGATCAGAGCCTTGTAAAGTGATAGGTGACTGGCAAGTAGCTTTGTCAATAAAATATCAGTGAACAGTGAGCAATTATTATGAGAAATGAGAAGATAATAAAATGGATGAGAAACTTAAGATTATAGAAAACACAAAGACTGAGTCACAGTAGGTTACTGCCCAGGAGTGATGGCTTAGAGATTAGACTGAAAAAAAGTAGAAATAACATTATTATAAAATGTTCAGAAACATTCCCTTAATCCTCTGGAGAGGAACTGATGGTAGGGGTAGTAACCGTGCACACAGACAACAGTAGACATGAAAAGGAAATATCTATTAGCAGTTTGCTAAGCACACAGTAAAATGCATTGATGTATTTAAGCCTCAAAAAAACTTCCTTGAAGAAAATATATTTACCCACTTTTACAAATGAATAAACTGAGTCCAGATATCATATAACTTGTCACAAGTGAACTGGTAAGTGGAAGAACCTGAACTCAAATTTTCTCACCTTACAATCCATTATCAGCCCAGTATGCCTTTCTGAGAAACAAATGGATTTAGATTTTTGACAGTGAAGTAAACCTTCAAAACACAAGTCTAAAACAAAGTAGGCTACCTGAGCATTCTTACAGTGGAGGACCTGAGGACAACCCATGTCGGTGATGGACAACTTCTCCCCGGTAGCAATGTGGTGGGATACCATCTGCAAAACAGAAACGAAGCAGAATAATGGCACAGTTCTTCCACTATCAGTGTACCTGGCTCTCAGTGATGACCATGGTTATCATCAGAAACATATTTACATCTGTAGTCAATAACCATCCTTTGATAAAACACATGGGGGGGTTCTCCCAAACTTAAAGAAAAATAATGGTAAAGCAATGGTAGACAACTCAGTGTTAGGAAGTGTTTCTGTCTGTATGTCTTGTCTGTTTCCCTCTCTTAATGAATTCATTTTGATTTTATGTGTGTGAGTGTTTTGCTTGCATGTATGTATGGGCATCCCATGGATGCTTGGTGCCCTCAATGACAAGAAGCAGTCATTTTATTCCCTAGAACTAGAATTACAAAGAAGCTATAAAAAACAATGTGAGTGCTGGGAACTGAACATGGGTCCTCTGTGGGAGCAGCAAGTGCTCTTAACAGCTGAGCCATCGCTCCAGCAATTCTTTCTCTTTTCACATACAAGAGCAATAGCTTTAGTTGATCAGATCTGAGTGAATGACTACAAGCATACTGTGATGGAGTTTAAAACTCACAGAATTTTCAGGGGACAACAAAACTTCCATTTCTACCAATTTACTTATCTAAATGGTTAGTGATCAATATTATGCCTATTAACCACTATGTAGTTCATAACTATTAGCTATTTAATTCCTATAAAAGACATTTGAAGGTATAATCATTCAAGCCTTAGAATGAAGAAATCCGAATTATGAGAAGTGAATTATCTGAAGTTACATTTGAACTACAAAAGACAGTTCAAAGTTCATGGTTCTTTGTCTTGCAATTCTAACAACTCTAAATGTGGACTTAGGAAAAAAACAAAAGAGAAAAAGCATATGCCCGCTGGTGATACAACAAAGTAAAGCATGTAGGAAGATTACTCTCCAACTCAAAGCTGAGATAAAGTGAGAGCTTGAACAGCAGTGAGAGGGAAAGGGGGTGGCACAGAAATGGAACTAGGAACAGATAATGTATCTAGAATTGTTTGTGGGTTTAGACTTTGAAATTATCCTCTTATCCATTTTGCTGATGTTTCTTGTAACCATGGATCCTGAATGTGTTCTTTCAATGCTTTGGACTTACTGCTGTGTTCATGGAATGGCCTCAGCCGTCAATTCTTCTCGTTGTTTGTGACCTTTAAGTTCTCCATTGACTTGGAAATGTCTTCTGTGAAAATTTCAACCATATCTACAAAAGTCAGGCAGATGTGGGTATCACACACATGTTCCAAGAGGGAATGATTTTCTTTTCTTTTTTGAGGCAGGGTCTTTTATGTAATCTAGCCTGTCCTGGAAATCACAAGCCTCCTCTCTCAACCTCTCAAGTGGTAAGATAGTACATGTGTACACCCAATGCTAAGAAAGGTCCTCCTTTTATTATGAGTGTGTGCACACGTACACATGATTACTCTCTTCTCTCACCATTTTTGATCTTCCTCCCATCCATATCAACCCCCATTCCTCCTTACCAGTCCCTTTACCCTCCCTGAATCTATCAGCCATAGCACTTGTATAGAAATCAGAGGACAATTACAGAGTTCATTCTCTGCTTAGACCATGTGAGTCTCAAGGATGAAACTCAGATAATCAGGTTTAGTGGTAAGTGCCTTTACCTACTATCCATCTTGGTGGCCCTGGGAAGGAGTTTTCTAGATTGAGTATTTTGTCAAATTCAAATGTCTTCCCTAAGAGGTTTTGGAGAGGCAAAGCAAACAAATGAAAATCACAGGTGGGTCCTACCTCTCACTGCTGAACTATTTACTACTTATACATTATTCACAGAGAGAGCGAGCCAGTGCCTTAACTGTGTACTACCTACTATTTATCCTAATAGATTCCAATGGGTAGTATCAATGCAATGGTCCCATAGATAGCCTGATTAAACTAAATAAACCATAAAATAAAACAAAAAGTTATAAATCTGGGAAAGGGGCTGGTAAAAATAATAAGCAGAAGAGTATGACAGAAATAGAAGAGAGATAAGAGAGGATGAGAGAATAGAGTAAACACACACACACACAATTTTCAAAGAAAGAAGCTTAAAATCTCTTAATATTATAAGAATCAATATCTCAAGTATAAAGAAAACCGAAACTCTACCAGCCAACATGAGCAAGACAAGTTTGGGCAGGAAACCTCCATCATCGAGATCAAAGGCCAAGCAAATAACTGTGACAAACTTGGAAGAGACTTAGAAGAAAGGTAAGAAGGAAAGGAAGAACTTCATCAATATTATGAATTAGGTGAATATATTTCCTTTAGCATGCCAAAATATAAGTCCAGTTCTTTCTCCCAGAATCTGCAGCCAGGGTTTGAAATAATGCCTGGCAGCAACAAATCTCGGGGACATGTAAACAGTCTATACGTGAAGGTATATTGGAGTACATCCATTACACAGTACTAAAGAATTAGTTTCTAAACTGCTGGTAGCAGAAGAGCACTTGCTAACTTTATTACCCAATCACAGCATTTTACAGATGCAGAAACAAGCTCAGAGGGCAGAATCGTTTGTGCAAGGTCACATAGCCAGGTAGCATCAGAATTAGTTAGAAGCAGCTTTACAGAATCCTTTTTTAGAATGTTTATCATCATAGCCAAGGAAGAACAATAAAACCAAACAAAAGAAATACTAAGATACTTCTTTCCTATGTGTATTCAATTTATTTCATACTTACATAATTGTGTTGACTACAAGTATTTAAAGAAGTTTATATTCATTAACTTCATAATTCTTAAATATTTGAACTTTCAAATTAACTCAATGTATTCTTGTCACTATTTTAAAGGGGATATAAGTTAAATAAAGAGGTTAAGTAACATACAAGATTTAAAACGTAGTAAATATTCAAGTTATTAAGCAAGCTCTCAATTGTTTAATTACTATACTATTCCATACATATAAACCATATATTACTTGTTGTAAATGAGGTCTGTGCACAACTTCGGCTAGTGAATAAGATAAGATTAAGTTATTGCTCATCATGTCTTATACAATAAGCTAAAACTGTCTTTAAATAGGAAGGTTTAGTCCTATATTAAGTGGTTTATATGTCTGTGAAAAGAAATGTGAAGCCATAATTACTAAAATCCAGTGTAGCAATGAGACCACACACTGTTGTGGTCTCTCTCTCTCTCTCTCTCTCTCTCTCTCTCTCTCTCTCTCTCTCTCACACACACACACACACACACACACACACACACACACACACACACACAAATCAACAACATAATGACCACAGGCGATACACAAATTCTAATAATAACTTCAAATATTAATGGCCTCAATTATTCAGCCAAAGAAACAGGAAGGCTAGATGGATCAAGAAACAAAATATATCTGCTGCGTAAAAGATAAGCAGGTTTAATGATAGGTACAGACATACAGTGAAAGGATGGACAAAAAATTCAAATGGGACAAGGAAACAGCAGGTCACACATCACAATTCTAATGTCTGACAGAAAAAGTTCAAATTAAGACTAAACAGAAGTGATAAAGAGGGACACTTCATTCTAATCAATGAAAAAGTTAACCAAGAAGACATTACTACCCTAAACATATATGAATCAAACTGTGGTGTACCTTATTTCATAAAAGATAGCGTACTACTGGATTTAAAGACACAGGTTGAGACCAACATAGAAAGAGTAGGGTATTTCAATTCCCCATTTTTTCTAATTGGCAGGTCATCTGAACCTGTAAACAGGGAAACAACAAAATGAATTAACATCATACATCAAATAGATTTAGCAGATATCTATAGAATATTCTATCCAAGCTCCAAACAATATTCATTCTACTTAGCAACACACAAAAGCTTCTGTAAAACAGACCACATTCTGGGACCACATTTGAAATCTTTACAAATTCAAAAAGACTGAAATAACTCTGTGTATCCTATCTGGCTACAATGCAATAAAAATTAAAATGGAAATAAAACTAATCTCTACTAAATACACAAATCACGTAGATTAAACAACTTGTTACCGAATGAAGAATGGGTCAAAGAAGAAATAAAGAATGAAATAAAAATTAGTCCTGGAAGTAAACTGAAATAAAAACACAACAAAACCTCTGGGACACACTCAAAACATACCTATAAAGAAAATTTATCACTCTAAGAGCCTACATTAACAAAAAAAAAAAACAGAAAGAGCATGAATAAATGACTTAACAATGCAAATCATAAAGTATCATCAACATGACGATGCAAACATGATCTGAACAAGAACACCATCAAACATGCAAACGTCACAGGAGAAATCTCATGCGACCTCAGCCCTACATGAAGAACTACAGGCATCTAAAGAATGCTGAGAGCAGAAGAAATAGTCTTCCTTCCCTAGGGAAGAGCACACAAATCGATTATACAATACCAAATGATCAGCCCTAAAAAGATATATATGCAAGTAATGTTATACAGAATGAGCAGGTTGTATTTATGTATTTAGAAATGTACATACATACAAACAAGCACACACGAGACACAGACACAAAACACATAAAGACACACACACAAAAACACATATATGTAGCAACAATAAAAAAGATGTCATGAATTAGAAGGAGAGTGAGGACACATATATGGAGCGTTTGGAGGGAGGAAAGGGAAGAGAAAATGATGTAATTATAACCTCAAAACAGAAAAGATACTTTTAAAATAAAATAAATAAAAGTAATTTTAAAAATATATAATTGTACAAAAATGAATCATTTTATCTCAATACTATGATCAATTGGAGAATTTGTTAATTAAATATAAACTACCATGATCTGATTATTATAACTTAAGTATATACATTTTATATGTAAAAAAATTCTCTCTATATATATATGTATCCCACAATACTCCTTAAAGTATCCAATCATTATGTGTCAAGATAAAAATAAATTATATTTATCTGTAGTCTTTATCCCTCATCAAGAAAAATTCTCTTTGCAGCAGATGGAGATCACCTCAGAAAACCGTAGCCAATCATAATACAGAGATTTTGAACCCAGTCCACTGGATACATTTCCAAAATACTCTAGCACTTAAGGCTCAGGAAACATTGTGAAAGAGGAGGCAGAAAGATTTTAAGATCCAGAGGATCATGAAGTTTGCTGTGAGATTGTGTCTCCTAGGAATATCAGAAGCTCCACCCATAAAGCCTCACCAACATGACTACCTAAATGTGAGCTGAACAAGGATGACACCAACGAAGATGCCATACTGGATGGCAAAAAGCCCAGAAGATTCCATCCCTACACAGAGAACTAAAGGTAACTGAGGAAAGCTGGGTGTGCAATAATGTTTTATGAAATTCCTGAATTAGACAAAATCATTTTTCCAATAAAAGTGATGATAACAAGAGACAGAAACTGGTCAAGAAGTTTGGGGGTAGGGACCTTCAAAAGGACCAGTCTGAATCTTGCTCTTGCTAGAAGCAGGAAATGTTCGGTCTGCCCCTAGGAATGCCAGGAGCAGGACTGCTTTGTTATCTCTCTTAGCCTAAATGAGCTTTCCTGTTATCACAGTTGAGTGGAAGCAGCAGACCTACTTCAAGGATAGGCCAAGTGGAAGAAACAGTGTATCCCCTTGTCCTCACGAATCACCCTACTTACTATCCTTGAAGCACAAAGAGGCTGATGTGAAGAACCTTGGAATCTGAGGACTGGATATCCAAAGTGCAACGGAAGAAACAATAGGAAAGGAAGTTCTTAGACAAAAGAAAATATCATGGCTAAGGCAGGAAGTATAGATAAACATGATGTCTGAACATAGATATTAACAATCTCAGATTCTGATACTGCAAAACTTCCAGAAAGATTCTCAGATGGGCAGTACTTTCTCCGATCTCTGTCAGAGACCCATAAGATCCAGGAGGAGGTTGTAAAGAATGGCTAGTTGAAATACTGTTGTATTTATTTATTTATTTTGCCTAGATAAACCCTCATTTTGGTGATTTACACTATCAAAACTGAAAAACTACACACCTAAAGGTTCTAAAATATAGAACAAAGCCCAAAAAAATAATAACCCTGTACTTCCTGGCTGGACCCTCTTTACCTCTATACAGATCAGCAGGATGGAAAATGATCACCAATTTGTCAACTTTTAAACTGCTGACAACTAGATTTTTCTCTATCCCTCAAGAATATGGTGCCTCCCCTTCCAGACTGAAACGCATTTACTCTCTCAAATCTTAGCTATGAGATGATATGATTGTTTAGTATGGACAATAATAACCTCTCAGTTTTCCTAGCCCATCTAAATCTACAGGAGATCCATTGTATACTTCCCTAATCTACCCAGTCTTCAGTCTTCTATAAAATTTCTATTAGCTGCCAGAGAGTTCTATACTATATGTCAGTCCAGGCAAGCTGCTGAACAAAGATGTAAAGTAGTCGCAGTTTTCTTAGGACAGTGGTGGCCATGCAGGAGCCTAGAGTTAGGATTCCAACAAGAAATATAAAGGGTCTGAAGACGGGTTTGTTTGTTTGTTGGTCTATTGCATCCCCTGGTAGAAGTCGAAAAACAATAAGCCATCAAGAGGAAGGTCCCATGTTAGAAAGGCCAATTTATAACTAAACACAATGGGTTCACATCTCAATGGGTATAAAGCTGAAATAAACACAACCAAGATAACAGAGTGGAGAAAGATTTATTACCTTCAGCAGGTCATAGAGCAGTGCCTTCCGTGAACAAAGAGTGCTAGAGCATTTTTATGTCTTCCCAGTGAGAACTCTCTCCAAGCACTTACAGAAAATATTTTAATAATGATAGACAACCAGTTCCAGCTAACTACAAAGGGGAGCAAGCCCTGAACTGAAATCCCCCTCAACGTCTATAGCTTCACAGGCCCAAGTTATGCTTTGAGTAATTGGACATCTTTTAAGAGACAGAAATTTCAAGGTTTGGTTCTTGGGAAAATTGGGAAGATTTATAATGTAAAAATATTGCCATAGTTATCTTGAGACAGAGCAGGGCCATTCTTCCGGGGCAGCTGGTAACCAGGGTCACCCTGCCTGCCTGGCAGAATTATGCTCTTCCTGATAAGAGGCACAGCCTTGATTAGTGGCTGTCGGCCAGGGTTGTCTACACTGCCAGACAAAAGCAGAATACCACTTTAGCTAAACTTCCTTTTGTGTAACTTAGGATTTTCTAAGCACGTTTACTGGCAAACTCTTTACAGCATTACTTTATTACTCCAACAGAACATCAGGATTTTATTTAGAGAGTCTATATAGACTCACATAGGAGCATGCTCAGTTAACGTCGTGGAGCACACATTTTAGAGATTAAACTGGGGCTAATGAGATGGCCCTGAAAGTAAAGGCACTTGTGCCCAAGCCTGATGGGCTGGGTGCAAACCTTGAAACATACATAGTAGGAGGAAAGAGGCCCCAATGCCTGCAAGATACCCTCTGCTCTCTACACGCACACTGTAGCACACAAGCATCCCCAAGGCACGCACATAGAAAGTAAGCGAATAAACAAGTAAATGTAAAAACATAAAAATGAAAGTAATAGACAGCAACGCCTCTGAGCATGCTCAGTTCGCACCATAAAATTTTGGCTGAACATGAAGGAAAGGATTCTTTGAATGTGCAGTGACCCTGAAGGTGCTATCTCTATTCAGTGGTGGGCACAACTGACCTGATGAAACCACGATGAACTTCTCCATGCTACACACCAGTTAACACAAACTTTAAGAATGAGTACAGACCCCTGGGGGGAGGGGAAACCTGATTTTTTTCTGAAAATACAAAATTCCAGTCAACCTGAGTCAGAGTAGCTTTTCCTTTCTCGTATTTCTTTGTTTTCAGCATACAAAGCCCTCTGTCCTCTGTTGCCTGGGTGATCTCATTCTGTTTTGTGTAAGAGATTCCTCTATTCATGAATTGCAAATAAAAGTCAATTAGATCTATGTTTGGTGTGGTTGTGTGTGCCCTCCCGCTGCAGTACACTAAAACAGGAGCTTAGAATCCTTTTTTCTAAAAAGCATTTATTCCCAGGAGTGCATGTAACTAAAAGTAGAGCAAAAATCTTCCATGTCTTCCCTCATGTTGAGTTGTCTCCTTTGTCTGAAAGTGTGGAGACTGTCCTTAACCTCTTTCCTGGTCACTCTGGGTTCCCAGAACAGCAGAATCTCCCCACAGAGGACCCTTAGACACTGTCCTTCAGATGAGGGAAAGGCCACAGACTGAAATAGAGGTGATCATCTATACCAACATGGACCACCTGGGGATACCCTGAAAGACCAGACCTCGATCAGGAGGGCTTAATTGCACATACTTCTTACTCTCTATTTAAACCCAAAGTTTCTCTGCTAGTACCTTGATGAAGGAGTCAGGACCACTAGACCCCCTTTTGAATTCCTCTTCTCAGTATCTACACTTGTTGGGATCAGGCGATCCTCTGCTCTACATTACTGAATATTGTGCAAAACAATGTTTTGGGTTTTTTTCAGGATGTGCATTGCCCTAAGAGATTCCATTTTACAGGCAGCTTGGGACTGCGTTTTAAGGGAGGAGGAAAGTGACTGCAGCCCCCGAGCAGATACAGAAACAGCACCGTCTGTCAGGCATCACCCATCTAATACAGACTAATAAGTGACCTATATTCCTGGGAATAGAAATGGAACCCAGCCTACAAGTTGGTCCACATCAGTTTATCATCTGATACCTTAAGGATATATTAAGGACTGAGGACAATTCCTGGAACTTTGACTCCACAGGTACCATGATGTTGATGCAGTCTTATCAACTGCCTGTTTACTTACTTGTTTGCCCATCTTGCTCTAGAATGGTTCAGTCTTTCACCTACCAGATAAACTTTACAATTTCACCCTCAAACTGGACTCTACTGTCTCCAGTAACAGCTCCCTCCCAGCACTGCTCTGGTTAATTATCTTATCAGTGCAGGCTCTCTCAACCCAGTTGTGAACCTTCATGAACCCTGTTGCAGTATTATTTAAAATATATGTATGTGTGTGTTAAATTCTAGTTAAAGTATCATTCTATTTATATGCATACAAATCATGTATTTATATGCACGTTATAATTCATATATCATTATTTTTAATACAGCGAATGATAAATATATAACTATTTAACCTATATATATGCATATAAATACATAGATGTATTCAATGTGTTCTGTGTGCTGTATGATATGAGTTAATAATAGTAATTAAGACTGGGATAAAAGGCATTTGCCTCAGCCAGGCTACCAAGGTATCTACATCACCAAGCCACTTTTACCTTTTCCTTTCCAAGACAGGAAATGCTCTTGCCTGAAAATCCAGAGAGCTCCGGGTTACAGGACTGGATCAGTATTGAAGATGGCTAAAGGGTAGGTAAATAACAAGAGAGAGGGCAAGTAAATAACAGCTACAAAGGAAAGACTAGACCAAAAAAATAAAAGTTTAACCAAGATCGTTAAGATTTGCTATAAAATACAGAAAAGACTCTCAGGACTCAGAAGGTACTTAAGGGCTAGAAGCTGAGAAAGGGAAGAAATTGGTGAGGGAGTAATGATTGCTCACATGCAAGAGGAACGTAAAAAACAAAATGTAGTAAAAGCTGCAAAGTACTGCTTCAAGAGGAACATGGATATAAAGCACTTTTTAGGGGGGTGTTGTGCCAATATGAATGCAAGAGAACAGGGGAACATGATAGGAGCATGTGATAACTTCAGTCAAATGAATGTTATAGAGAAATGTAGATTTTTTAAAATGTGTATACACATATGGTAAGTATAAGTGTTTGGGGGATATATGAGAAGGCCTGATAAATACACACTGCCTTATAAAACTATATAATTTGAACTTCTTAAAAGCTATTAAAATGGTATCTTTCATTCTGGTAAGTTTTCATAAAAATCCCGAAACGGTACTATTTATATATAAAACTCATTAGAATCAAAGTATGAAATTGTAGATTGGATAAAATGGATTTTGAAAATAATTCCTCCGATAAAGGCTCTGGAAATAAAAAATAATAATTAATTAAAAATTCATTTCATGGGTAAATATATATATATATTCTGTAATATACGCAATACTCATAAAATATAAGTCAGACCTGGTAGCTCATGCCTGTTGTGGGATATTTGGACACTGTGTGAAGATGTATTTCTGTGATTGTTGCAATCAATTGTTGTAATAAAAAGCTGAACAGCCAATAGCTAGGCAGAAGGTATGGGAGGGATTTCTGGGGAAGTGAAGGAAGCAGATGAGGAATCTAGGCATGCAGGAGGTGCCAAGAGACACAGAGAGGAAACAGGAGGTGCAAGATGGAAGAGAGGTGGCATCATGTGATAGAACATAGATTGATACAAATGGGTTAATCTATGTGAGTTAGTTAGGAACAAGCCTAAACCATAGGTTAAGCTTTCATTATTAATAAGTTTTCAAGTCATTATTTGGGATCTGGCTGGCAGGATAGAAAAAGATTCATTACGTATACCCTTAATCCCAACACTCATGGGATAGAGGCTGGAAGATTTCTATGTGCACAAGATGAGCCTTCACAGTGAGTTCCAGGACAGTCAGGAATATGTAGCAAGATACTATCTAAAAAAAAAAAACCCTAAGCAAAATAAAATAAAAATTAAAACGTTTTGTACTAATCAAAGCATCTCAAGTATCAAGTAATACACACCAAATTTTTATTGGATTGACTGTTATGCATTTATTTTTCAGAAATATTCTTATATGCTATACTGGGTGGTTTTGTGTGTCATCTTGACACAAGCTATAATCATCAGAGGAAGGAGCCTCAGCTGAAGAAATGCCTCCTTGAGATCCAGCTGTAAGGCATTTTCTCAATTAGTGATCAATGTGGGAGGGCCCAGCACACAGTGGGAGGTGCCATCCCTGGGCTTCTGGTTCTGGGTTATATAAGAAGGTGGGTTGATCAAGTCAGGGGAAGCAACCTAGTAAGCAGCTCCCCTCCATGGCCTCGGCATCAGCTCCTGCCTTCGTGATCCTGTCCTGTTTGAGTTCCTTTCAGGATTTCTTTTAGCAATGATCACCAATGTGGACGTGTAAGCCAAATAATCCCTTTCCTCTCCAACTTGACTTTTGGTAGTGGTGTTTCAGCATAGCAATAGAAACCCTAACTAAGACATATACAAATGGTAAGTTTAAGGTTTTTTTTTTTTTGACTAGCAATCTTGTCTACTTCCAATATCCAGGAGGATAACTATATGTTTTTCTTTGGATTCACCTTCCTATTTAGCTTCTCTAGAATCAAGAATTATAGACTCAATGTCCTTTATTAATGTCTAGAATCCACTAATGAGTGAGTACATACCATATTCATCTTTTTGGGTCTGGGTTACCTCACTCAGGATAGTGTTTTCTATTTCCATCCATTTGCAAGCAAAATTCAAGATGTCATTGTTTTTTACCGCTGAGTTGTACTCTAATGCGTATATATTCCACACTTTCTTTATCCATTCTTTCATTGAGGGGCATCTAGGTTTTTTTCAGGCTCTGGTTATTACAAATAATGCTGCTATGAACATAGTTGAACAAATACTTTTGTAGTATGATAGGGTATCTCTTGGGTATATTCCCAAGAGTGGTATTGCTGGATCCTGGGATAGGTTGATCCTGAATTTCCTGAGAAACTGCCACACTAATTTCCAAAGTGGTTGCACAGGTCAAAAATTGAAGAGCCTTGGGGGTGGGAGTGGTGTGGGGGTAAGAGGAGATGGGTAGCGAGAAGTGAGAAGGGGAGAATGGGGAGAGCGTGGGGGAATGGGACAGTTGGGATGGAGGAAGAGTGGATATGGGAGAAGAGAAGTATAGATCTTAATTAAGGGGGCCATTTTAGGGTTGGCAAGAGACTTGACTCTAGAGGGGTTTCCAGGTGTCCAAGGAGATGTCCCCAGCTTGTTCCTTGAGCAGCTGAGGAGAGGGCACCTGAACTGGCCCTATCCTATAGCCACACTGATGAATATCTTGCATATCACCACAGAACCCTCATCGGGTGATGGATGGAGATAGAGACAGAGACCCACATTGGAGCACTGGACTGAGCTCCCAAGGTCCTTATGAGGAGCAGAAGGAGAGAGAACGTGAGCAAGAAGTCAGGACCATGAGGGGTGTGCCCACTCACTGTGATGGTGGGGTTGATCTAGTGGGAACTCACCAAGGCCAGTTGGACTGGGACTGATGGAGCATGGGATCAAACCGGACTCTCTGAATGTGGCAGACAAGGAGGGCTGACTGAGAAGACAAAGACAATGGCACTGGATTTTGATTCTACTCCATGTACTGGCCTAGTGGGAGCCTAGTCTGTTTGGATGCTCACCTTCCTAGAACTGGATGGAGGGGGGAAGACATTGGACTTCCCACAGGGCAGGGAACCCTGACTGCTCTTTGGACTGGAGAGGGAGGGGGAGGGAGAATGGAGGGAAGGGGAGGGAAATGGGAGGAGGGGAGGAGGTGGAAACTTTTAATAATAATAAACCTGAAAAAAAAGATTTTTTTTTGAGACAGGATTATTTCTCTGTAGCTTTGGAGCCTATCCTGGAACTAGCTCTTGTAGACCAGACTGGCCTCGAACTCACAGAAATCTGCCTGCCTCTGCCTCCTGAGTGTTGGGACTAAAGGTGTGCACCACCACCACTCAGCTAAGTTTAAGATTTTTATTAAGGCTGTGATATATATGAACTGACACTTATGTTTGTCAGAGATCTTTATGTTAAATTTTCTTTTCATGATAAAAAACATAGCATGTAAAATCCTAAAAGCAATAATACTCAAAATCTAGGTAAACTTACTCTGTATGTAATAGAAATAGAAATGTCTATGTTGCCAATAGCCACATAAAGTGACTTAAAATAACAGTAGTTAATATTTTTCATTTTGAGACAAATTTTAATTCATAATTGTGACACTGTAATACAAAATATATTGTATTTTATTTCAAAGAAGGGGGATGAGGAATTTCTCAAGATTTTTATCCTATTTAAATTAAATTTTTAAAAAGGAAATTATTTAAAAACCAAACTGTTGTGGCTGGACAGGTGACTCAGTTAGTGTGTTTGCTGTTTTTACAGACGACCTGGGTTAGTTCCCAGAGCCCGCATGGCAGCTCACAACTATCCGCAATTCCAGTTCAGGAGATCCATCACCTCCTATTCTCAGTGGACACCAGGCACATGCATGCTACATATACATGCACACACAGGTAGAACAATCATACACATAACATAAAAATAAATAAATCTAAACAAATAGACAAGCTTTTGGTGCCTGTTCAGCTGGCTTAAAACATCATCAATGACTGGGTTAGCCTGTGTATTTCTAAAATCAAGTCTTCTACTTAATTTATACTGAGACATTATTTCAAATTATAAATTTGGGATAAAGAGTGATTTAGGACTATGAAAAATATTACCTAACCATCTAACTGCTGCAGCCAAGGCCATGCAAATCTGAGTGGCCTGTGCTGCTACCCAATGCTATGGTACTGTCTGGGCCAGAGCTGCAGCTGAGGGCCATATCTGGGTCTGTGGCCCTACTGCAGCCAGAGCCTGTGTGCTGTCCAAGGCTCCTGTTACCATCAAAGTTCATGTGGATGTCCAAGATCTGGTGCCATGTTGGTGTCCAAGGTCCACACTGCTCCTGGGGTCATGCTGATCTGAGTGGGCTTGCACTGCCACCTAGGGCATTGGGGACATACAGCCCCGACATCCAGATCCAGCTACTGCCAAGGACCATGTCTGGGTCCGTGGTCCTACCATAGCCGGGGTCTGTGTTGAAATCTGAGGCACATGTTGCCATCAAAGGTCACATAGAAGCCTGGGGTTGGAGCCAAAACCTGTGGTCTTTTTGGTATCTGGGGGCCATGTCACAGCCAGAGCCATCCTGATCTGAGCGGCCAGTGCTTACACCAAGAACCAGAATGTCTTTGGCCCGGGCTGCTGCTGAGGGCCTTATCTGGGTCCGTGGTCCAGCTACAGCTGGGTTCTGTGTTAATATCTGTGGCCCGTGTCACTTCAAGGGGTCATAAGAACCATGCATGATGAAATCAGAGCCTGTCCCATCCTTGACTGTCCCTGGGAAAGCTGGCCCCGCCTCCTACTGGACATTGCAGCAAGAGAGCTGATCCTGACCCTCACGGGAGAGATGACCCCTGCAACTTGGAGAGATGGACCCCATCCCTTACCATGGGGCAAGGGAGAGCTGATCCTGATTACTCGAGTGCAGGAAAGTTGGCTCCACCACCTCACCTGAGGTGGGTTGCCCAATTGGCTTGGACTGAGCAGTTCAGATGCTACCCAGGCCCACAGCCGGGCCTTGGGTTGGCCCATCCTAACATCTACCCAA